AGTGATGATGATGATGATGATGATGATGATGATGATGGTGATGATGATGATGATGATGGTGATGATGATAACTGTGACACAACTCCAGACACAATCAACCTCCATATCAACACCCGTGGCTGGAACAGCAAGCAACAGTTCAGCGTGTCAGCCTTCATCTGCGATCAATGCGATGAGCAGCCGGTGAGTGCCAGCAACAACGATGGCAACAGCGAAAGTGATGACGATGGTGATGGTGATGATGGTCCCAGTGCGGAGCCGGACAGCAACAGCGCTGCTGCCACACGCACTTCAGCCGCAGGCAGCACTGCCGATGGGGATGACGACAGTGACGATGAAAGTGATGAAAGTGAGGGTGAGGATGATGGAGATGACAGCAGCGACGCGGAGAGCGTGATTGGTGAGGATGATACTCTTCCGGTAGACGTGCATCGCATGGTGAATGAGGTGCATCGCATGGTGAATGAGGTGTTGACGTGGTGGTCTGACGAACGCGAGCAACGCTCCAAGGTTGTTGCGGCACCAGACATCATCGCACAACACCACCGGCACCAGCAACAGCAGCAGGTGCACCAACGGCAGCAGCAACTGCAGCATCAAACCACCGCAGACAGCCATGGTCGCAGCAACACCACCAACACTAACAACACCAACAGCAGCAACAACAACTACAGCAACAACGCAAACTTTCACGCCAGCAGCAGTCACGCTGCACACACTCGCCTTCCCGGCTCGCGGTATGGTCCAAAGACGCCATTGCGGGCACGGCGGTTGCTGGCACAGCAGCTGTGCTACAAGGTGTTTGGGCACAGGTCTGGCGAGGTGCTGGCGTGCGAGGTGGGCACACCGGGGCTCAACGAGTGTCTGAGCTGCGTGGTGGCCATGGACCTCCTCGCCCCGTGGCTGAGCCCGCTGCAGCTGCTGCACGTGTGCGCATGCATTGAGATGACCATCCCCTTTCGCACAGACAGTGCTGTCTCGACCCTCCACAAGCGCTGCCTCACCATGTCGCGTGAAATCACGCACATGCAAGTGCCGCTGGGCCACCAGCACCAGCACCAGCACCAGCAACAGCACCAGCAACAGCAACAGCAACAGCAACAGCAACAGCAACAGCAACAGCAACAGCAACAGCAACAGCAACAGCAACAGCAACAGCAACAGCAACAGCAACAGCAACAGCAACAGCAACAGCACCGCCGCCCCTCACTCGCCGCCTCATGTATGGTGGTGAGTGCTTGTCGCATGGCTGCGCGGGACGTGGGCAATTTCGCCTCACACGATACACGCGCGTTCCTGCTCAACACGTGGAAGCTGCTGCCGGAACTAAACGCCAACTTGCGAAATGCGGACACGTTCTTGCTGAAGGACTGGATCCGGGCCCTGGCTGGAAACATTGGGTTCTTTGAGTTTCTCTCCAACGAGCCCACGCGCATCTACCCTTGCTTTGGCGAGCTTGCAGGCAGCCAGGAGCATGCGGACATGGTGTTGCGTGCAAGCACGAACCTTGAGCGTGGTCGCGCGTATGTTGCAGCGCGCCTCGTCACGGCTTGCATCATGCACGCTGTCCTTTCCGCCTCAAAGTTTATGGTGGACACGACGCCCGTGCTCCAGTACCTGCCCTCGGGGATGGGCGGGCGGTTTGAGCTGTCCCTGGCGGCGAAACGTGTGCAGACTGCCATCATGGCAGAGGTGGTGTCCGGGTGCAATGAGGATACCGTGTTGCAATCACAGCTGGTGGATGTGCTGCGTGACCACGTGCGCAAGGACACGCCGCACGAGCGTGTTGCAGCGTCCCATGTAGCCTCACGCCGCCATCGTCACCAGCACAAGGTGCAGCAGGCGTGCAATGGTGACGAAGACGACAACAACAACGACAACAGTCGTCACAACAGCATTGCACCTTGTCTGTGTGGTGAGTGTCACCACAGTCGCGGTGATGATGATGATGCCCATCAACACCCACGTCATCACCATCATCGTCATCATCAACATCATTATCATCATCATCATCATCATCGTCGTCATCGTCGTCGACAGCGTGGGCGTGCCAACACCACTGGAACCGAGCCCTCCCCAACCATGCATGCACACGTCCCCAAACTGCTTCACGCTTCTGGCATCACAACTGACCGACACGGCGGCGGCAGTCGTGCCATTGCTGACAGCATCATTGGTGGTGCAAACGGTACCGTGGGTGGTGTTGATACCGGTGCTGGTGATGGTGGCATTGGTCAGCATCATCATCACACCACCACCGACACCACCACCACCACCACCACCACCACCACCACCACCACCACCACCGACATCGCCAACGCGACGACGGCCACGAACAAAAAGCCGATTGAGCGACGATACCGCATGCGGAGGCGAGCACTGTCCCACCCCCGGTGGAGCACGACGATCACTGATGAGATCCACGGCGCTGATCCATCTGGTGTTGGGATGGGTGTTGGGATGGGTGTTGGTGGTGGTAGAGGTGTTGGTAGCGCCAACAATGGTAGCGGCAACAGCAGCAGCCGTCGTCAGCAGTTCCGCATGTGGCACGGAGGCAATGAGAAGAAGGGTGCACGTGTGTCTGCGTTTTCGCGCACGTTTGAATGTGAAGATGTGAGCGCTTGCACGGGCGACTGTCGTGGTGTTGGGACAGGTGGCTGTGCCGGACGCGGCAATGATGGTGGAGATGACGGTGATAGGATGTGCACTGCCTGCCAGAAGCAGCAGGAGTACGCACGCCTGTGCCAGCAGCTGCTGCAACAGGGAGGTGTATTTCCCATTGGCATCCCCGATAATGATGATGGTGACGAAAGCATCGACGAAGATGACGATGCAGTCAATGGTGACGATGATGATGATGATGATGGTGATGATGATGGTGATGATGATGGTGATGATGTCGCTGCGTCGACTGTTGACCTGGCGAACACACACGTTGTGGACGTTCAGGGCGAGCACAGCGGACGTCAGCAAAGCGACAACGACGATGGCTACACCAGCACCGACAACACCATCAACAATGCCCCCACCACCATCACCACGACGAACAATATCAACGGCGGCGACAACAACAACAACAACAACAACAACAACAACAATAATAGCCCGTCTGAGTTTGACTTTGAGAACGGAAGTGTTGCCACGGACACGTACACCGCGCGGCTGCTTGAGTGTGGCTTTGGGTGCGACGACGAAGATGAAGTGATTCTGAGTTCCGAAAGCAACAGCAGCGGTATTGGTGGTGTCCGGGGTTACGGTGCCCGCAGCAACCGCCTTGGTCGGGGCAGCGACAGCAGCAGCGTTGGTGCTGGCGGAGGCGGTGGCGGTGGTCCACGTGCCATTGACCGGTGGTTGAGCATTGACACCCCAGCGTGTCATCTGTCCTTGCTTGTGTTTGAGCACCTCGCTCGCACCAAGCGGTTTGAGCGCTGTGTGCAGACAAGCCTCTCCTACCAGCGCGGCGGCGTGTCGTGCCAGTCCTTTCTCAATAGCATTCCGTCCACCATTCTCCACCTCATCAGTGGACATGTGGCGCACGTGTTGAATGCCCACCAGCGCAGCGTGCTGCGGCAATCCCTCCGCTCCACCTCGCCCGCACATCGCGCTTTTGCCACCGTAGCTGCAAGCGCCACAACGCCGCGCAACGTTCGCAGCACATCCAACCCACGCGTCAAGTCCAAGTCTCTCGCAACATCGCCGTCCCTATCGCCATCCCCAGCCACCACTCGGCGCGCACGCACACCAGCGCTGTCACCACGTCTGCTGCCACCAGCACCGGGGCAGCAGCGTAACGCCAGCCCACACAGCGCAACACATCGCCACCCGAGCCGCGACGACCACGACCACGTGAGCGCACATGTGACGAGCAATGGGAATGGCAAAAGTGCTTCTGCCAACATAAGCAGCATGCACATGACCAGCCTTGATGGTGGCAGCGGCAGCGGCAGCGGCAGTGGCGGCCTTTGTGATGCTGCTGTTGATCATTGCAGTGACGACTACTGCGGTGGCTACCATGGTGGTGATCGCAGTGGCCGACACGCAACACCGCGACGACGTTGTTCGTTGTCGCCCTACACCCCAACGTCCTCTCTGTCCCGCCACGCATCACCAGCACAATACAGCACGACATCACCTCGTACAGTCACCCACCACACTTTTGCCACACCCGCAACCACAGCCACCTCTCCAACGACAACCACAGCACCGTGGGCAGCACGGTCGACAGCAGCGGTGGGTGCTGGTGTCGACGATAGCAACAGCGCTCACAGCACTGACAAGGAGCGAACGGTGCACGGCAGTGATAGTGGTGGTGGCGGTGGTGGTCGCTGTACTGTGAGCGCCAGTCTGGGCGCAACTGTTGGGCGAGGAGTGAAGAAGCACAGGTCACTGGATGACCGCTTGTATGAGCGCAGATACCAGCATACCTACATGCCATCAGCAACGGCGACAACAGTAATGCACGGAGAGCAAGCAAGCTCTGCTGACAGGAGCGCGGTGCAGGTGGTGGAGGCGGTTGCACAGGATGGACAGACAACGGCTGCACTGGGTACAGCAGCACGTGTGCGGGTGGAGGTGCCTGCTGTGCAACACACGCGTCGCCCCAAGACGGCCTTGGCAACCACACGCAGGCAAGCGCCAGCACGGTTGCTTGCAAGCACTAGCGTGGGTATGGAAAGGGACGAGGCTGATTGTCCTCGTGCTGCTGAGACAAGCCCAGTTGGTGTTGAGCACGCAGCGTTACACTCGGCTGTGCGCGCTTTGAGCATCAATGACGATGATGCTGATGATGACGATGCTTTTGACAGTGGCGACGGATATGCCAGTGTACATGACAGAAGCAGTGAGCAGAGCCGCCATTCGCTGACTGCTGCTGACGTGGCGTTGACCAGAAGGCCGAGGAACGTGCGCAGCGAACATGTGTCACCGAAGCACAGCCAGCAAACACGACAACGCAACCGCAGGTCTGTTGCCAACGGGGAGCTGTTCCAGATGCTGGCACACGGCAGCCGCAGCGTGGCGGAGGGGTGACGATGAACGTGGTGGCAGTGATGGTGGTGGTGGTGGTGGTGGTGGTGAGACGGCAGTGTGTTTGTGTGTGTGTTTGTGTGTGTTCGTGTGTGTGTGTGTGTTTCGTGTGTGTGTGTGTGTTTCGTGTGTGTGTGTGTTTCGTGTGTGTGTGTTCGTGTGTTTCGTGTGTGTTTGTATGTGTGTGTGTGTGTCTGTGTGTTCGTGTGTTTCGTGTGTGTTTGTATGTGTGTGTGTTTGTGTGTGTTCGTGTGTGTGTGTGTGTGTTCGTGTGTGTGTGTGTGTTTGTATGTGTGTGTGTGTGTCTGTGTGTTCGTGTGTTTCGTGTGTGTTTGTATGTGTGTGTGTTTGTGTGTGTTCGTGTGTGTGTGTGTGTGTTCGTGTGTGTGTGTGTGTGTCTGTTTGTGTGTGTTCGTGTGTGTGTGTGTTTCGTGTGTGTGTGTGTGTGTGTGCGTGTTTTCCAAGTGCGAATCGTTTGACACGTGTGCATGCATACTGATGGTTGATTTGCTTTGTCACGTGCATGGGGGAAAGTATATCACCAGTTTGGTCGAATACACGAGCGCTTTAATGTCCAGAAGACGAGAAATCCAGTCACACACTATTGCACAGACACAGCCATAGACAGACACACACCACACACCAATGCACACCCCCACAACACACACACACACACACACACACACACACACACACACACACACACCACACACCAATGCACACCCCACAAACACACACGCACACACACACACACACCACACACCAATGCACACCCCACAAACACACACACACACACACACACACACACACACACACACACAAACCCTCCCCAACACACACACACACACACACACACACACACACACACACACACACACACACACACACACACACACAAACCCTCCCCAACACACACACACACACACACACACACACACACACACACACACACACACACACACACACACACACACACACACACACACACTCGCTAGCCTAAACCAGTCAAAGAGTGCATGTTGTGTGGAGGGCGGGAATGGAGCGTGCTAAGAAGGGAATCCCATACACATTACCGTTGCGTGCGGCCACGGTTGAGAATTGAAAGTTTCCACTTGGGAGCGAGGACACGGATGTGCTGTCAAACGTGTCTGACGTCGGGTCAACGATGAGCACGGATGACACGTCGCTTGCTGGAAAGGCGTAAATGAGACCGTTTGCTGCACTTGCACCAGTTAGCCACTTGTTTGGCGTGTTCCCAACACCGCTCATTGTCGTGGTGTCGACTGTGTCCGTGGCAGGGTCAATGATGAGGACGCTGTCTGCATCGTAGGGCATGCCATAGATCTTGCCGTTGATCCCTGCAAGTACGCCGAATCCCCACTCCTGGAACCCTGGGCCAGACGCCACGATGGACGTCGCGTCAAACGTGTTGGTTGCCGGGTCGATGAGGAGCACGCTGTCGGCGTTGGCGGGGATGCAGTAGATCTTGCCGTTGCCTGCAAGCACGGCGTCGTTCCACTTGTTGAACACGGTGCCGTCAAACCCTGCCATGGTGGTGTAGTCAACGCGGTTGAACTCCGGCTCGATGATGAGGATTGCCGAGTACGACGACGGCGCTGCGAAGATGCGCCCGTCCTCGGCCATGGCACTCCCGCGCCACTTGTCGGTGTGCACGGGCAGGCCCGAAATGGCGGTGGTGATGGCGGTGTTGGTGCGCAGGTCAATCATGAGCACGGAGGTGGCGTATTGCGGCACGCAGTAGATGAAGCTGGTGGCATTGGACTCGTGCCCGCCAATCCACTTCCCCAAGGCGGTCGTGAGGCCCGTGATGGTGGTGGCGTCCACGGCGCCAGTGGCGGGGTCGATGATGAGCACGGAATCCGACTGCGACGGCGTTGCGTAG